TCAGCTCCCTGAGGGGAGCCCTCAGGGGAGGCGGCCCCGGCTCATGCCGCAGTGCACGGGCTGTCTTCATCTTGTGGGCTCCCAGCCCCTTTTATCTGGAAGTCGCCCCTCGCGCGTTTTATCGGGCAGCCCAGAAATATCGCTGGGTGCTATCTCCACGGAAGAAGGGACTGACAGAAAGTGCTGCAGCAGCTGCGGTCCCGTAGGTAGGGCCTGAAGGCAATTTCCACTCCTTAACCTTCAACAACCATTGTCCCGCGGCTCTTTCCACCCCCGAGAGGAGCTTGCTGTCTGTAGTAACACGCTGAACAGAGGTGAAGGAAATAAGCTCCTAATCTTAGTTTATAACCTGTGTGCCACAGTTCAGCAGCCTTTAAGATGATCTTGTGCATGCAGTGGTCATCATGCGCCACTGCAAGAGCTGTGTGGCAATACCAAGTATTCTGTTCCCTAGTGTGAAAACGCCAAAAGCCAACGGTCCTGAGTTGGTGGAGGGATGGGGATGGGGTTTAACAGCGCTGCTGTAATGCTTCCCCCAAAGGGAGTGGTATATTCAAAGTTAAACATAAAAACTTGGTAAGATGCGGTTGAATGCAATGGTAAGTACATGATCGTTACCCCACAGTAACAAAAGAGGGGGAGAAATAAATAAAAAGGGGGTTAATCTAGAGTGGGATTATGTTATAGTTGTGCTCAAGACTGAAGAGCTACTCAATGTAATTTACTGCACTGTTCACAGCAGCTGCCTGATGTCACCATTAGTGGTAAGACATCAGATAAGGCACGAGAGGTGATGGGATGAAGACGAGATCTTTGCATTCAGAAGTGATGAGACACTTTGTAACAGGAGGAAGGATTTGCAGAACAGGATTTGACAGGTTAGCCTCTTGGTATGTAGGGGAGGAGAAGCAATTTCTTGCGTGTGGAAGTCAGGACTGGGAGAAGGCAGTGGAGAGGGCGATTCTGTGGGGAACTCATACGTACTTTAAAGTGATAAAACATGAGATCACAAGTTATCCAGAACACTTTCACTATGAGAAGCTGCTAGAACTTGTAGCACTGTGCATTCTGTTGGGAAGTCTGTCTTTTTTTTTTTAATAACTTTTAAAAAATATTTAATTATTTTTAACATATCCCACTTATTGTTTATTTATTTTCCCCTAGCATTTTGTCACTACCTTCTTTATGTTTCTCCTTGTGGCGTAAACATGAGCTATAAACATGTGAGACATTAATCAGTGATTTTGATAGCAATTTTTGAATCGCTGGGGAAACCAAAGTAATTTCTGCTGCTCTCAGGGCAGATTAGAAAAGTGAGGATCACTCTGAGCATGAACTGGAGAGGGAAAGTGACAGTAGGCTGTGGTGTTGAAGGCTGGGATGAAAAGAGGGATTCCAGCTTTGGGAAAGAGCAGACACAGAACTTACCTCCACTATGAATAGAAGAAAGTTGCATCAATGGGTTACAGAATGTAGACTATGCAAAATGGTCTCAGGAATTTTAGTTCTCATAGAGGGGCGGAAGAAATTGCAGTCACTTATGCAACAGTGTACAATTCTAAGAGTATGCCACATGGCTCTTGTTTTGCATAATTGTGAAATGAGGTATTAATTCCTGGAAAGGGAGGATGTTAAGCTGTTGTATCTTGGTCAATCTGTGTCCATGTATGTGTAGGCATGCATATGTTAGCATGTTTTCTCCACTCTGAAGCTCAAACTTCATGCTATATAGAGGTTACGTTGAAAGTCAATTTACCCTGTGCTTTTCATTCCATCATTCAGAATCTCTGGTTCTACAGGCTACTGTGTAAATGTATTTCACTGATTTTTCTTAAGATGTGAGCTAGTTTGTAAAAAAAAAAAAAAACAAAAGCAAACCCAACCAAAACCCTCAGAGAATTACAAAAAATATATTGGTGCAATTATTCTGATAAAAGTATTTCACAGAACAAAAATGAACTGCGTTAGATCCAGAAATCTGTTATTTGATACACAGCTCTCCTCTTCCCTCTCAATACACATAGAGTCAGTAGCTGGTGTGTAATCAAACATAACACTGCAGTTTCCACTTAGATGGTACTAACTTCTATTTTATAGGTTGTTTTTTTTTTATTTTAGTCTCCAGGACTAGCCTATTGGCTTTCCTAGGGGATTTGCATTATCCTCTACCTTCCTGCCAAATGAGTTATATTATTTGGAGCCTCTACAGGTAAGGGAATTAGCAGCACATCCAGTCTAAACTGTGGATATTTTTATGCTAGTGTATCTTTAGGTCATTCTGGCTTAAAATATAAATGTTGTGTGAGCATTGTTTCGCTAAGTCACTAGCATAGTCTCTGATAGAGAACCGTGATTACATTAAAAACCCCAGAGAAACACACAATTCCTCCTGTGCTGCAGTTCCACAAAAGAGCTGAGTACTGATTAGTTCAGTGGTACAAGATTTACAAAGTGGTTTTGTTAAATTTATGCAACCCCCTATGTGAATACTTCTTTTAATCACTTTCATAGCAATTTATTTTAGTTAAAATACTACATGAAATTGCACATACAGTTGAAAATTTAATTTAGTGGAAAATACTACTTTGTGGATGTGTAGGTAGAGGAGGCCTGTTTTTTGTCAAGAAACGTGACCAACATGAAAAATAGTCATTGAGCCATGAATGCAATAGATGCTCCTTAACTTCACAGATGTACTTTTCCCCAAATATTCACATTCTCAATTTTTCACAAATGTTACAAACTTGTAATACGTGACATGAAATGCCTGAAGTAAAAAGAGATCTAAACATAAATGCTGTTAGGACCTAAAATATCAACTCCCTTAGCCTAGAGAAATAAGAAAATGCAAATATAGAGGCTTCTCTAGCTAGTGAAGACATTTGATTATTGGATTGGGAAAGCAGAACCATTTTCACTACCAAATATAAAACATAATTTACGTGGAAACTCTGTATATAGCAGGGCACCCCCCTTCCCTATTTCACCTGTCTCCTCACCTGCAGCACCTGCATATTCAGGAACCTTAAGCTTTCATGTTTACATGCTGCTTTTTACCTTATGCTTTTAGCATCCACACTGAGCTCTTACAGCCTACACCTAAAAGCAAATCTAAGAGAATGGCAGTATTTGTTAGAAGGTCACACAAGCAAGGTCATGGTGCATAGTGTAACTAGTATGCTTTATTTATTGACACGTTAGTAAATATATTATCTATGCTGTTGATGATTTGACATCATTCTGGTGCATAATCTAATCATAATACACAAAGGCAAAGAGATTAGTGTCATTTTTTGGCAGAATAGTTGCAGAAAAAGCAGGATGATTCTGAGCAGCCTTTATTGGGTTGTCTCCCTAGGATATTCTGTGCGTAACTAAGTCTTCTGGGACTGCAGGATGTCCAGTGATTCACCTTCGTCACTAGAAGAGATGCGGTTAGTTGGATAAGGACTTTTGCTTTTCCCTTGATATTTTTATTTATGCTGTTATTCGGTACCAGTATTTATTCTATTAGTATACTTTAAAACCACGAAAGTTCAGGAAATAACCCTTGCCAACTAATCTCATTTGCTATCATTTGAACAGTAAGGCAGTTATTGCAAAATCATAACACTTCACTGTTCAAACAGACAGGATTTTTATGGCTCTCCAACTGAATTTTGTTCCTGCCACTTATTACAGAACATTACCCATAAGAGAGACTTGCAGCTGGTATTGATGACAGGCAACAAGACATTTGTCACCTCTCCTCCTGGGCAACAATTATCCAGGTGCAAACATAAGTTACCAGATGCTCATTGGAAGGGGAAAAAAGCAACCGTTACTTGTTAGTGAACAAAAGTGCTCCTGATTTGGTTTTGCATACATGAAATTTCCAGCAGGGATCAGAATCAGTCAGCTAATCCACCTCAGAGACAGCAGTTTCCACAGGCTATACTGGGAACCACGTATTCACCAGTAGGATGGGGGCAGATTTTACAGAAATACTGAAGCAAGTTCAGAGCTGCAGAAATCGGTAACTTAGAATTTGTCACCCACCTGCTTTAAGATTTAAATTAGATTGCACTTGGGCAGAAATACTGTTGAGAGGCGTGGAATGTGCTGCTTCCATGCAGCCTTCCCTACCATTCTTTGAACATTTGTTATCTCCTCAGTTGTGCTGTTTCTTTCTGAGGACACATTCAAAATAAAAGTAAAGGAAATGTCTAAGGGGACTAGCAGATGCATTCAGCAGTATGCTTCCAGGCTTTGGCAATTTTAAACAACTACACTGCTTCTCGTGGGTAGCAAAGACAGTTAACATACATGCTGACTATCAGTGCCAACTTATGCATGGCTTTTTTTTTTTTTATCAATAGAACAGTTGCAAACATTGCTAGAAAAGAAGTCTTAAGGATTGTTTAATTATGTAAGATGGCAATAATAGCTGACATTAAGAATATTTTTTACTAGAATGTGTCTGAGAGGGGAAGTGAGTGTTCGTATGACAAACAGTAGATTATCTTGTTCCGTTCAAGAAGCTGGGGCCATTTTAC